CCAAATTCAGTTCAAGTTTTGTTCCTCTACATCCCCATGTCTCTTAGTCTCCCCTAGTGTCTGTGTCCCAATGTCTCCCAGTGTCCCCATGTCACTAGGGGTTACTGGGAGACCAGGAGACACTGGATGACATGGAGACATCGGGGGAGACATGGGAACACTGGGTGACTTTGAGACACAAGGGGACACATAGGGCAATGAGACACTGTGATACAAAGGGGACACTGGAAACTTGCTAAAGACCTGGGTACAGGTCGAAACATTGCGATGTCCAATAAACCTGCTTAAATCTATCACAATGAGTGCCTAAGATTTTTTCTTTTATACTAGGGGTCACTGAGAGACATGGGGACACTGAGACACTGGGAGACTAGGGGACTCTGGGAGACTAGGAAACGCTAAACACTAGGGACACTGAGACACACCAGGGAGACATGGGGACACTGAGGCACTAGGGACACTGGCTGTGAGACCAGGGACACAGATACCAGGGACACTGAGAGGCATGGGGACACAGACACTAGGGCCACTGGCTGGGAGACATGGGGCATAGAGCCTAGGGGCCACTGGGGGACAGGGGCCACTGTGTCCCCAAGTGTCTCAGTGTCCCCATGTCTCCCAATGTCTCAGTGTCCCAAAATGTCTCACAGTTTCCCCTAGTGTCTCAGTGTCTCCAAGTGTCCCTATGTCTCCCAGTGTCCCTAAGTCTCTCACTATCCCCATGTCTCACAGTGCCATCTAATGTCTCAGTGTCCCCAAGTGTCCCTATGTCTCCCAGTGTACCCTAGTGTCTCAGTGTCCCCATGTCTCACAGTGTCCCCAGGTATCCCAGTGTCCCTATGTCTCCCAGTGCCCTTCAATGTCTCAGTGTCCCCTAGTGAGTAGAGCAAGACAGGGAGGGAGATGCTGTAACTTCGTATCCCTGCCTCTCGCCACACACACAGCGACCCCTATTGGCTGGCACTGGTATTGCTGAAAAATCTCTGTTTATACTGAGACTTACATTTGTATTGCTGGTATTACTGCAATACTGGCACCGGCTAGGCAGCCTCAAATACTGGAGAATACCGGCCAGATGGTAACCCTAAGAGTAGTGTGAAAAAAATATAAAAAAAAAAAATATATATATATATATATATATATATATATATATATATTTTATCATCTTTTTTTAAATCAATGAGCCTATTCCATGGGCATGGGCCTGGAGCTGCAGCTCCATCAGACGCTATGTTAATCCGGCCTTAGTATGTGTATGGGTGATTTAATCTGTGAAAAGCTTATGCCACATAATATGGATCAGTGGATTTGTTAGAGGATCCTGAAAGAGAAGGGAAAACCAGGTCTTCAACACTATTTCTTTAGTTATACTACTTACAAATCCATCCTGCATTCTTTTAAGAGACAGGTAATTTTTAGGTGGGTGAATAGAAGTGTTCCGAATCAAGAAACCACTGGATAACAAAATGCCTTGTGGTTGCCAAGGATGGTCCGAGAAGGACAGTGCACAGCATGCTTGGTTTCCACCGATGTTATGGATTAAAGTACTGTACAATCTTACACAGGGGTAGGTGTGCCAGCTGTTTGTATTTTTTTATATAAGTGGGCTGTATGTTGTGTATGTGTGTGGGCTGCATACATTATATTTTGTGTGTTATGTATATGTGTGGGTTTGTCTGTGGTAGTGTGGATAAGTTTGCAGCATTGCAAGTGTGTGAAATGCTTGTAGGGTTGTGTGTTGGGGCTGTTTGTTGTATTGTGTGTGTGATTATGAGTTGCCTGTTATGTATATGTGTGTGCACTGTTGGTATTTATGTGTGTTGGCCTGTCTGTGGTGTTATGTGTGTGTATATGAGTTACCTGTTCTGTTATATATGTGTGTGGGCTATTATGTTAAATGTTTGTATGTGGGTTTATTGTACTATTTTTGTGCATGATGAGGGCTTCCTGTGGTGATGTGTGTATGTAGTATTGTGTGTGTTTATGTTGGCTGCCTGTTGTACGATGTATGTGTGTGGGCTCTTCTATAATAATAAATGGTGTGGACTGTATGGTATTGTGAGTGCTTGCATGTTGTGTATGTATGCCTGTCTGTAGTGTAGTGTGTGGATTGTATGTGAATTGTGCATAGAGGTGGTGTTTGCAGGGGTCTTTATTTAAGCAGGAAAAAATATTTTATTTAAAGAACAAGTTATTATAAAGTTGCTGTATTCCCCTTCCCTCTGGCCTACCTTTTGCCAGAGAGGAGGACATGAATCCTAAATGTTGGCCCAGTAGTTGCAAATGTAGGTTCCAGCTTTGGCACAATAACTCTCAGAAATGCTCTGACTATTCACAGAGTGATGGAGCGCGAGATAAGGTCAGCTGTGGAATCTGCCCTCACTGAAGGTGCAGACCATATGCTTCCATGAGCTACA